AGTCTTGCAAAAAATAATAAGCCGGATCCAATTCGAAGATTAAGGAACAATGCATCAACATTAACTGAAATAGACAATTAGATAATTTTAGCTTATACCGTCCGTTATACATTAAACGCGCTGCGAAAACGTATTCTGCACTTGTGCACACGCAAATGCGCGGTCGTAAAGGTCTTACGCGCACGCTTAAACGCCTATGCGCATGCGTCAAAGCGGCGCATGCGCAGAAAGTTTTTAGCTTTGAGGTCCGGATTATAGATCATTCCGGATTATGGGTGTCCGAATTAACGACTTTTGACTGTATTTAGTTTTCAAACTAAATTACAACTTTTTCAAAAGGACATTAGAAATAAAATATTTTGTCATTATCCTCGAATTAAAAAAATTTGTTCCAATATTAAACAAAAAAAAAAAAAAAAAAAAAAAAAAAAAAAAAAAAAAAACTCAACGAGTATATAAAAAAGCATAGGTTTCAAGACTTGAAATATTTTAAATCATCTCTTGATTTTTTTGAATCCATTTGAAATTGACATAATTCAAGGTGAGTTTTCCATTTTCAATATAATTATGACCCAGAAAAGCATCTGGAGAATTAGAATTAATAGAGATGCAAGAATATCAAGCTCTACAAATAACATATAAGTTGACGCCGATTACTGAATTTTGGAAATTTATACCAGAATCGAAGTGTCCTGAATTTAAAAAGGCTGCTTGTCGAATTATTTCAATATTCGGAACAACGTACTTATGTGAATCATTTTATTTCACTTTGAAATTCGCAAAATCCAAACAGTATTAACTAACCAGCATCTCAAAGAATTACTGAGAAGTGATACCACCAATTATTCAGCAAATTTTAAAGAATTATCAATAGAAATAAAATAAATGTGTTTAATATTTAAATTCAATACACATATTTTGTACTTTTATTTATGTGTTTTTAATAAATATAATTTCTGTAAAAAAATTTTAATACCTATTTTGCATACCTTTTAAATACGTCTTTAATTGCGTCTCGCGAAAAATTTCAAATTTTGAAAAACTTTCAAGGAGCTTGGCCACCCCTCTTATATGGTAACTTGGTTGAAGCAGGCATGAGAGGACTCAAAACCATGCTATTGGTATTAGATTAAGAATGATATAATGTATATTCTGGCATATAACTTACATTTTTAGTAAAAAAAATTTACAAGTACATGATATACTGCGGATATAAAAAGGATACATTTAAAAATAAGGAAAAGGTGACCATACAAAAATTAGATTTCTACATGTACCTAAATGCATGTGCCTAAAAGCTGTTTATTTAAAAAAATTAACATACCTTATGAATTAAACATTTTCATTATTAGATAATTATCATCTTCAACATCATGTTACTGTGATTCATATATAAATAATCATCTTTAGTTCCATCTAGATTGTTTGATATACTGTATTTTTAAATGACTTTTCAATTATGCCAGGCACAATTTCATTCCATGCTTATATTATCCACTTACATACTATTTATAGACTGACATCACACATTTGGCATCCGTTTGTAAATGTTTTTTTCACTTCTAACATCCATGTTCCACTAAAAACATTTAAAATTTTCTTTGAATGGTTTATTGATACACACTTCCAAGCAGGAAAGCACTTTGGTGAGGTGAAATTTCTCATGACCTGTTGTTTTTATGTGAACCATTTTTGTTCCTTTCATGTGAATTGTTTTATTTTTTATCATATCAAACATTACTGGAGTTTCCTCCATATTTCCAATTTGTGACAGTAATTCCCATTCATTTGCATTCTTTTTTGCTTCCTTTAAGGCAAATAAACATACTGTGTTTCTTGTTACAATTAATTCATTCTGGTGATTTTCTAGGACTTTGTTCGCAACAGTTTCTTCTGGGATAAGTGATTTTGCTACTCCTTTATGCAAAGCCCATTTATTCTTTGGCATATTAATTATATATATGTATATAAGAGAGACAGAGTTATTGTGATTTCATTTTTTTCCCACTCATATTTGGAGCTTTCACCAATACCAAACATCTGTGCAGCAGCAAGATTTCCATTTTCTTTCGTAAACTGAATGACATTCGAAACCAGCGTTATGTTTGTTTTGTTTGGCTGGAACCATATTTACTACTAAAAAGAATGATAAATCAACTGCATTTCAACTAAAGCAAATACGATTTATTTAGGCCTTCAATGTTAAAATCATGGCTTCAAATGATTACAGAAAGAAAAAACATCTGACTTCTAGTTCTGCAAATTCATTCAGATCGAAAGTGCATTCTCAGCCCAAAACATGTCCTCCTTTTCCTGAAACCTTGGAACAACATTCTTGCGCATACCTGAAGACAACCCACCCTCTTTGCAAAATTATTTGTTCCTTGAAGCATTTCCCCCACAAGCATTTATCTTCTTATTGAAAACAAAGTCCAATATTAAGAATCAGCGTAAATTTAAAAAAAAAAATTTGTGCAGTACTAGTTTCGTTAGTTTTTGAACTACCTTCGTCAACTGCTAAGTGCAAATGAACCAAATAAAGGGTGAAGAAAGATAAGGATAGAGATAAGATAAGAAAAGTTGAACAGAAGTTAAGCTACTGGTGTCATCTATTGATGAAACGAGAAAAACTAAAACAAAATTTCTTTAAAGGCTGAAGATAAAGATGGATTGTAATTGGGGGTTATTAACTAGAATAGAAATGTTTTTTTGGATGTGAAACACTTCTAAAAAATCTAATTCACTGATGGAGGATGTTTGCTGAATAATTTTAGCTGCAGAAAAATGGAAAGTGGGATTTTCATTCCAACAATGCTGAGCAACAGTGGATTTCTGTGTTTCCTTTTTCCTAACATATGCCTCATGTTCTTTAACACAAAATGTTAAGGCTCTTTTTGTTTGACCAATGTAAATTAAACTACTTTGGCAAGGAATCCTGTAAATACCCCAGGAATTCATATCTGAAATGGAGTCCTTAAGCATGGAACTAGGAATTTTATTGATAGGAGAGAAAACCACCTGAAAGTTAAATTTCTGCAAAATACGTGCAATTTTATAGCTAATAGATGGAAAGAAAGGAATGACAACAGAATTCTTAAAATCACCTAAAACAGGATTGTACCTTTTGACGTGTTTCGGTGAGAATTTTTTAACTGCACGGTTAATAATGTTGGGTGAAAAGCCCCTGCCAATAGCAACTGATTTTATATAATTTAGTTCTTGATCAACAGCTAATTTGGAGGAGGAAACTTGAAGTGCACAGAAAACAAAGAAATAAAATGAAGCTAATTTCATTTTTTAGGATAAAAAGGACTTCTGTTTCGTTGGATGACATGATTTTAAGTGTGGTGGAAGGAAAGCCAATGAAGGTTTACAGTAAACAGTAGTACTGAAATCAGATATATTACGTGTGACAAACAGTAGTACTGAAGTCAGATATATTACGTGTGACAAACAGTAGTACTGAAGTCAGTTATATTACGTGTGACCAAAATTTTGAGGAACTGAAGAGAATTGGATGTCTCAAGTTCAAAAGTGAACTGAATGGCAGGATCAGTGGAATTCATTATTGAAAGAACATTATTTAAATCATTTTCATTACCATAAAACAGGGTAAATGTATCGTCTATGTAGCGGAATAAAACTTGGAAGTTTAAAGTTTCAAATAATTTTGATTCAAAATAATGCATGTAGATATCACAGCAAGGATTAGACTAAGAGGGCTTCCCATGACTAATCCCTCAGTTTGCTTATAATACTTATTTTGGAAAACAAAATGTGTTTGTTTCAAACAGAGGTGAGTAAGTGAAATTAGTTCCTCAATTTCGATGCAGGAGAAATAAAATTCACAAAGTCTAGTTTTCGGACATCTGAATGCACCTTCCACTGGAACATTAGTAAATAATGATTTAACATCAAAAGAAACCATGAGGAAATTTTGGGGAGAAATAGAGTTTGTAAAAAAGTTAAAAATATTTCTTCCTAAAATTTATTGTAATTGGGTAACAAGCTCTTATATTTTTGCTGTAATGAAAGTATGTGCATCAGTTACATTATGTAACAATAATGTGTCAGGAATTAATTTGAAATTATATTAGAAATATTTATTTCAGTAAATTTCATTTTTTAGGATAAAAAGGATAACCAAATTAAAAGAAAGTGTTTAATGACTATTACAAATTTGAAAAAGGAACAATTATCAATTAACATAAGAAGGAATAATTATTAAATAAAATAATGGATTATTTATCAGTTGCACTGTGGTGATACAGAAGTAAATGTTAAAAGAATATTGTTAAAAAAATAAACAATGTTTTGTTATTGTTCAATTAAGGGTACTAATATTTTCTTAAAATGTAGGTGTGTTTATCCTCTAAATGTGACAAAGATGACTGCTAGTTAATGACAAAATCTAAAATATTTCATAAAAATCTATAAATTATTAAGTATCCCAATGAAAACTATGATAAGAAATTTTGGATATAATAATATTTTCATGTGTTAAAAAGCAAGTTATGAGGTTCAAGTAAGTATATAAATGCTAAATACAAGCAGAAATTACACTTAGTCTAATAAAGTAATAAATCTTTTTAACCTTTTCAGCAAACTTTATGAAAATTGTAAAAAGGTAGGTCCTAACTAGATGTGATTATAAAAATGTAGTAAAAGTATAATTACAGAGTTGATCTATGTTGTTAGGGAAGTAGAAATTGATGATACTGTTAGAGGTATTTGATCTGATTTCTGTGGTGCATATACAAAAATAATGTTTTAATTTATTTAAATAAACAAATTGATACAAGAAATACTTGTTCTGTACTATTGAAAGTTACTGTTTTCCTATAGTGATATAGTTCACTGTGTCATCAAAATCTGAATTTTTTTACTATGCTGTGACATTCACTCGACTTTTATAAGTTGTTCTTTGCTCCTGTACAAAACTGTATGCACTTTGTATTTTTAGTAGAGTTTTAGACAATAATGTTTTCTTTCAATTTCAGGGTCCATTTGTACATATATCTAGTATATTAGCAACAATTCTTAGCAAACTAGTTACGTCTTTCAAAGGAATACATGAGGTAAATTAAATCATGCAAATTCTTTTCTTTTCGTAAAATATTAGCCATTTTCATGTCTAGTGTCATTTTTTTAATGTCATTGTGTGTTCAGTTATTTGTAATATTTGTTCAGTTTGTTGCAATCATTTGCTTACATACAATTTTTTTTTTTTTTATTATTAATGCCCTAACAAATGAATTAAACTAAATAGAAATTGTTCATAGATTATAAAAATAGTCATCAACAAAAGTATACATAATTTTCTTAATTATATTATTTCTTTAACATTTTATAATTTTTTGTATTGTTTTAGATTTTTATATGTGTACAACGGTACCTCGATTATCCAAGGTAATTGTAACCATAACCACCTCAAATAATCAAAAACTTGGTTAATAGAGATTCAGATTTAAATCATGGCAGTTTTTTTAATAAGGTTTTCTGAAATTATTATTTAAGTCTAAAAATAGATGCACTATTGCTATTAACATTTTTCCAAATTTGTTTGTTGATAAAGTTATTTCCTTAAATTAAACAAAAATCCATTCAAGATTTTCGTTCTCCAGATACCTGGTGCAAATAATTTCTTTCTCATTCAGAGCCTGAGAGCTTGGTTCACTGTTTCCTGCATTTATCCATTCTGAAATGTCATCTTCAGAGATGTTTTCATATCCATTTTGTTCTTTGAAATATGACTATGTATTCATTATCAAATAGTGTCTGTTCTAATAGGAAGGCCATTAAAGGATAAAAAAGCCCAAAAGATTAATCACTGATAGAGAGTTTGTGAATGTTACCAATTTTGTTGTACTTTCCTAATGTTCTACATTTTCCGAAATGTTTTCTTTAAACTGATTCCCGGCTTTGTTAATAGAGGTTCTACTGTATATATAATGACAAATTGTTGGATCCTGTTATCTTTTTATATTACAGTTATCTTTTTATATTATATTGAAGACTTGATAGTAGTATGCTTACTGTGCATATTTAGCATGATAACTGTAGCATCCTTTGAATTCAGCAAAATTCAGGAACTGTAGGTTCTATTTTAGCACAAATTCTATGCTTGTCCTGCTGCAAAAAAAATGATTTAAGATGTTCTTAAATGTTGACCAATGATAACAGATTTTAACAAAAGTATGAATTATTTTTATAAGGATTCGCTGAAAGTGATAAGAAAATGAAAAATACTGATTGACAGCACATATGCTGTTTCTCCCTTGTGGTTGCATTTGTTCTTGAGTGTTAGTTTTTGTTTAGTATGCATATTGTTGCAGTTTTGAAGTTTCCATTCTACATTCTAGTTGCCTTTTAAATTGTAATTGCAGTTAAGAAGGCCAAACTAGTGAAATTGCACATTCAACAATAATCTTCAGAAAGAAATTTTAATTCATCAAATTATAGTAATAGAGATGGTATATCAGTATTTGAGTATCCCTTTTCCCACTGCTTCTGGATATTGGTAGATCAAAAGCTGTGATGTAAAAAGTAGACATAAGAGGAGCATAATAATTGTGGTTTTTCTCTGTGCATTTAGAGTTTTTTTTGGGGGGAAGGGGATACATGAACAAATTTTGTAGGTTCATATGTTTAATGTTATGTGAACAAATTTTGTAGATTCAATGTTAAGTTTTCATTTATCTTAGCAAAACTTCGAGGAGTGTAGAGAGGGGCAAGGGGAAACATCTGTACCTGGGTGCTGCATCCAGGAGGTGCAGAACTGAAGCTACCAATTTTTAGAATGGAATGTTTTCCATTCTTGGCAAACAAGAAGGACATGAGATCTTCAGTTGTCCCTGGGTGCTGAAAACTCTAGCTACAGCTCTGAAAACTTTCATATGTGATTTCACCCACCATCCTGTTTTTTATTTGTTAAATTATGGTTGGCTGAAAGAGTGGCAATTTCAAATATGGATATTTTTGAAGAATGAATTCTTTTGGCTCTTAAGAATGCTGTTATGTTTGTTTAAATGCTTCGCACATGGCACAAAATTTAGTATTAATTGAAAAGGAATTTGATATACATGCAAATATTTTCAGAGACACTTCAGCATGCCTTATACTTTGCAAAGTGAAGATTTCTAATCAATCCTATTCACTTTCAATAGCTTAGGTGTTTGATAGAGAAATATCTAGTGTTACACTATTCCTTTGTGAATATAAATCATAACAACACATTCATTTGTTAATTATTGGATGAAAAAAATTTAAGCCTTGTAATAGTAATAATAATATATCAGAAATGTTTTAGGAAAAGAAAGAATAAAGTGGAGAAATTGATAAAAAAATTGCATAGTAAAAAATTATGAACTAAAAACAACTAAAAGCAACAAAAGACCTACCTTTTAGACCAAAGACCTTCCAAACAGTTTTAAAAATAACTAAATTTTTCAAATGCATTGTACTTATTCTATGAAATGAATTAGCTGAAGATTTAATTAATGAACTTAAATAGTTTTTAACATGCATTTTCTTTTAAAACATGCTAATTATATATTGCTAATAATATACATGCTAATATATATATAGTGTTAATAGCTAATACAGACTTTGAAATTATTTTGGTTATCATTCCTCAGTGTTACACTATTTTTATATAAATATCTTAAATCCTTATGCTCCATTACAATTTATTGTTATTAAGGCAATTATTATTTTTTTTAGTTTATAAGTTTTTTATTCTGTGTATTATATACACCTGTATTTTCACAATAAGTGCATACAGAGTTTTTCTTTTTTTTAATATGATAGAACGAATCTCGGGCCAATGAAATGCTAGCTGCAGCTTGTGCAGTTGGAGTTGCCTGCAGTTTTGCTGCTCCAATAGGAGGTATAACCTGGTAATCTCATTTTGTTAAGTATTAAATTTCATGTCAAATACTAAAAACAAGGGTAAATGTAAATTTTTGTCAACTTTCATGGATTTTTTTTAAAATTAATGTGCTGTATTTATGAAGGAAAGCATTAACCCTCACAGAGATTGTGATTGTAATTATAAAAAAAATTAAATATATTTTGTTGAAAGTTACATATACTGTATTTTGGGAGGAAAAGCAAATTATCTATCACTTAAATGGAGTTTAATTACATATTTTTGCATTTCTCCCAGTTAATCCCCCTTTTTTTAAGCTATATGTTAATTTCAATTTGTGCAGAATTGTTAAATGTCAGTGTTCAGCCAAATGTAAGGTCTGTCTTCATTATACATTTAGAAATGGAAGGAAAATGAATTTGATTAGTTAGTTAGTTGACTCAGAACTGAAAAATGGGAAATGATTGTTGAACTCTTGAAACTGTCTAGCCAACAGAATGATGGATTTTCCTATTATTAGAAACAGATATAGATGATTATAATAGGTTAACAGATATATTTGAATAGTCAGCTTTTTGTACATGCAGGTATTACTTTGTTATATAAATCAGTCTTGTGGCTTTTTTTTTAATTACTGATTACAATAAGGATTCAAAATGTTGAGCAAATCTGTAGGTATGATTGTTGTCATAGAAATGGTTGTCTGTGAACTAATGTGAATAATTTGCCTCAGAATTTATATCAAATTTGAGTGAAGGTTTTACACATGGGCAAAAGAAACTTGTAATCTAAAATTAAATGAATCAAGCATTATAAATGGTACTACTCCATGTCCATATAAGAGCTGCCAAACTATTATTGATGCCAATGATTTTAATTAATTGCAGTAAACTAGCATAATGAATTCACAAGTTCAATCTTTTAACCCATGAATTTTTTCCAAGAAATAAATATTTATTTAAACATTCCTTTTGTTTTGCCGCTTGCTATAGATTTCATGATTTGGGAATTACCCATGGATGAAAAATCTGTGATTGATTTATTTCCAAACAAGAGGCATCATCAAAAATAAACAGTTTTGCTCGAAAGTTCCTGAAAGAAAATTGAGTTTTGAACAAAATGAAATTACAGCAAAGGATCTTGCAATGAGAGAAAAGGATTGCGAAAGCAAAATTGCTTTGAATGTTCCAAAATCCCTTTTCTCACAACTGTGAGGTTCAAATATTTTTGGTGCCAGGAAATGACATTAGTTGAATTTTGCGAATTACAACTTAAGGTGAACCATAATAAAACTGTTGACTGGAACAGTTACAATGGGAGATTTGCACAGCAGTTAATAGCCTGGCAACAGTGAAAATCAGCAGATATGACAAGATTGTTAAAATAGACGCTAGGAGAATGAGCAATGTTGGCCAGGTTCTTCCACAACAATAGATTTCTGGAAGATTGTGCAGAGAATCCAGTGAATGCTTTTTAGTTGTGGTTTCTGATTGATTGGAAAAAACTTCATTGGTTGTAATTAAGAAAAATGTTATGGAAGGAACATCTGTTTACATGAATTCTTGGAAAGCATATAAATCAGATGAGCTGCAAGATGCCAGCTTTGGGAATTTCACCATGAACCACAAATTTCACTTTGTTGATCCAGAAAGTGGATGCCAAATTCAAACAGTAGAACATCAGTGTGGAAGCACAAAATGGTATAACAAATGATATCGAAGCACGGCTTGACAATACCTCGAATCATACTTGTTTGAGATCATGTGGCGATGAATGCATAAAAGTACTAACATTTTTTCTTTGATGTTGGAAGTTGTTAAAATATTATCCTTTCTCAGTAAATTAATAATTCAAGATTAGGATTTATATTTCAGATTTTTTCCTTATTTTATTCCTTATGTTTTATGTTTGGTGTTTATTTGGTGAAAAAATTTAACCATTGCCAACGAACCCCCAAAATAGAGTAGTACCTTATAAATCATCCTGAAATTTAAATAAATGCATATTGTATTATGAGTACATATAAGTGTACTCATAATACAATATGCATTTATTTATGATTAAGTACAAAATGATTAAGTATGATTAAGTACAAAATATAATAAGCTAATGAATTATTATATGTTGCTGTAGTTTATGTATGATTAAGTACAAATTGATGTATGATTAAGTACAAAATATAATAAGCTAATGAATTATTATATGTTGCTGTAGTTTATGCTTTAGGAATCATTGACTACATATTTTTCAATTATCTCCCTTTGAAAATTTTCTTTGAGATCATCTTTTAAAACTGTAAGATGTCTAATTTAAAATTTGTATGCTGGCTTTAAAATACTTAATTTAATTTTGCAGGAGTATTATTTAGCATTGAAGTTACATCTGTGTATTTTGCGGTAAGGAACTATTGGCGGGGCTTTTTTGCAGCATGCTGTGGAGCTATGGTGTGGAGATTGTTGGGTGTGTGGTTTAAAAATGAAGGTATGGTGTGAATGCATCTTTTTTTTTTTTTTTTTTTTTTTTTTAAGCTGCAGCAGTTTGAATAGATGGATTTTATAACTACTATAATTTCTGTTTCAAATAGAAACACTGACTGCCATCTTCAGGACCAATTTTCATATAGATTTTCCATTTGATCCTCAAGAGCTTATTGTATTTGCAGGAATTGGGTATGTATATCTCATAACATTTTTTTCTACATAACTATGCTTCCTAATGGGGGAAAAATCATAGATGTTTCATAATTAATGGAAATTTTGTTTATCATATCATAAAATATATATTATGTAATTGTCATTCTGTTATTTTATTGTAGCAAAGCTGTATTACTTTTATTTTCTCAGTGCAGTTTGTGGTTTGGGTGGTGCATTCTTTGTGTGGTTTCATCGCCAAATAGTTCATTTTAATCGAAAACACAAGAGAATGAATGCCTTTCTTCAGAAAAAGTAAGTATGAAGGTTAAGATTTAAAAATTAAATTTTTTTAATTTATTTTATTTTGAGTGTAAATATATTCTTATATATTGGAAAAAGTTTAGATAAGAATATTTTTAATCAAACAAAATAGTTCTTTAAGGAATCTATTACAAAGTTACTTTGATGTCTTTCTTTGTTACAAAATTTAATTTTTGTGGTATAGAAGTACTGAAAATCCATACGTAAAATATTTCAAGCCAAACACCTTTAAAGAAATTGTTAATAGGGAAAAACAAGGGCAATTAATTCCTTTCCCTCGGAGCACCTTGATCATAGCTGGGAAAGAGTTTAGGCAGATAACCTTCATGTGTTTTTCCTAAATTTGATAATACTCAGTTTTTTGTAATTAAATTTTTAAAAAATTTCAACACGTAATAACATGGGTAACAAGCTCTGTTTAATCTTCTTGAAATCACTTCAGATATTTTAATAAGATTTAAAACTATTTCATTGCAAAATTATAATTGGTATGACGAGTGTTATTTATAGTTTTATTATTGTTTGTACACTGTATTGTAATGTATTTTTATAATTTCTTCCATAGTCGCTTCATTTATCCTGCACTGATCACATTAATCATATCTACGATGACATTCCCTCTAGGCTTAGGGCAGTTTATGGCAGCAGAAGTGAGTGATATTTATACTAAAAAATATATACCTTAATTAATTTTTTTTTAAATTTTTTCTGCAGTTAAAGACAGATAGTTTTTAATAATTTAATTTTTTATGTTGATTATAATTGTTATTATTTTATATTTTTGTTCCTTTTATGTGAATTATTTTAATATTGAGATTTTAAGTAAATATTGTAATACTGTAATATATTATTCTTAGTGATCTTCATTCAAATAAAATAAATTCACTGTTAAATGTTTTAATAAAATGTCTTTAATGTAAATAAATATGAAAAATTATAGTAATGTCCTATTTTTTTGCAGATTAATTTGAATTTGTTCGAATGTTAGTGCATTTCACTTGAAAAAATTAGCATTTGTTTTATGATACTTTTTATACAATGATGGTTCTACTTATATGAATAGTGAGAGAAAGATCATGAACTTCTTTATTACTTAATTGAAATATAATAATAAAAATTTTTAAAAAAGTTTATGTTAGTATATTATGATATCAATTAAAATCAGAAGCAAAGTAATTTGTGTTAATTCATGAATTTAGATTGAAAGAGAAACATTCCATTGAAAACTTCAAAATTAAGCAAAAAAGCAAACTTGCTTTAGTGAAGATTTTGAATAAAACACCATCAATTTTTAGGGTGATCAGGTACAGTCCTCTAAGAGACCTGTGTCTGATCGCTCTTTTCAAAACTGATAGTTTTATTCAAAACAGGGATCTATATCTGATCGCTTTTGAAATCGATAGAATTTTATTCAAAGTGTATGACAAAATAAGGTTTTTGTTTTGCGTAATCATGAATTCATCATAAGCATTATTTTTAATATGCTGGTTACAAAATTTCTTATACATTGTCTGCTGTATTTATAAACTAATTAATAAAATTAGTGTAGGTGTGTCACACAATAAGCCATATGTTAAACACATAATATGTGACATATTTATTTTGGATTTTGTTTTAGCTTACTACACATGAATCAATGAATGAGTTATTCAGCAATGTTACCTGGTCAAATCATTATCTAGAAGTGGATGAAGCCATCATAGTCAGTCATTGGACAACAAAGTATACAAATATATTTGTAAATTTAGTTGTGTTCATCATTATAACAGTGAGTGATAGTTTATATATTAAATTGTTCCTTATCTTAAATTTATATAATTACTTTTCATGAAAGATATTTATAGCAACAGTTAGTAATAAACAGTTTTTTAAATATTTTATTTTTATATTTAAATCTGGTATTTAATATGTTTTTCTCTATCTTATAGTTCATAACCACTACTTTGGCAGCTACACTTCCTGTACCTTCTGGGTTATTTATTCCAGTTTTTAAGATGGGTAAATATATTTCAGTATTAAAATAGAAAAAGTTTGTATTTTCATAAATTATGTTGCATTCTTGCCTCTTCATATTTAAATTTTAATATAAAATGAGAAAGAATACAAAGTCCTTCTATCATATTTCAGTTGGGTTAGAAATTAATAATTTTACTCTTTCCCCCCAACTACGTATATTTCTTAGAAAAGAGCAAAGATTCATTATTTATAATTTTTTTTATTTATTGTTTTTAAATCACTTTTACCCCATTTGTAGTGCTTTTGTACATTTGTTTATTTTGTTAGTGCTGTCTTGTGTAAGTATCGTGGTACACTTAGGAATTAATATTAAGAACAACAAAAAGTACTACTCAGTGAACATAAATTTTACTAATAAAGTTTAGTAAATTTTAATATTATGAAAACTAGCTAGTCTGCATAAGACTTATTAATAAATATTTTTTTATCAGTTTAACCTTACCTTTTATCTTTGTAGCTGACGAAAGTATTCCTCTAAATTTTATGACCTTTTGTTGTGCAATTAATTGAAATGACTTATGATCTTATTACTTATCATTGACTATAACTTATCATTATCATTGACTTATGATCTTTACTTTGATTAAAAAATTTCCCTGTGACTACAACAGGTACATCAGTAGCAAAAAATCTGTTAAGGATTCATAATTTCTAACAAATAGCATAGATTTATTTCTAATTTACATACAATAAAATAAAATTTAAAAAAGTCATATCAACTTACCATAAATTGAAGATCATCATACATCATGGAATATTTGGGAAACCTGCTGGTGGACCTTAACTCTGGTAAGAGCACACATCAAACTTTGTGTAACTTAAACTAAACTTTTGATGTAACTTAAAAAAGTGGTAGAATAGTTTATTATAGGCAACTCTAGAAGACTTCTGTAGATAAGCTGTATTTATAGAATTGTGCTTGTCACCATCAAAAAAGGAAAATGAAACATGCTATCAAACACGATATTTCCTGAAAAACACTTTGCCTTCAGCAGTAAATTTTTCTTCGTGTTTGCCTAAAAATATAATGATGATTAAGCAAGTTTAAGAACTTGTGCATTAAAAGCAGGAAAATATTTAAGTTTAAACTTCAGCATATATCGATTTGGTACTTTCTTGTAGTTGTGAACTTGTTAGTTATTTTTGAGAGCATTTGTGAACTCTTTGATGACTAATTTTTTGCTAAGTTGATGCATTAAAGGTGAAAACCATTTTCAAAATGGTGATGCTGGAAGGATTCGATAATAAAAGTAATCAATCAATAATGCTGAAAGAGGAGTAAGGAATACTGGCAATAAAACACTGTTTTTCAAGAAACATTTCCTTTTACGCTGTTGTTTTTCCTATATCCACAGCAATCTGTTTTTTCTTCAAAAAACCAGTCGGAGAATTCCACAAACTTGGTAATCATGCACTGCAGCATAATAACACTAGCTAAAACAGACATGTGCTACACACGTATCTGAGCTGCTACATAAATACTTTTTGGTGACATCATGGATTACCACATAATTACTTTAGTCACATACTGCTTTGTCTTGAGTACTTTTTCATGACTTTTTACTAAGAGTACAGATAATCTATTGACCTAGCATTTTGTTGTCTTGGCATTTGAAAATAGGACACATTTGATGGAAACTATAGAATATATCAATATAAATAAAACTAAAAATATGTTTAATCAAAAATTTACTTTAATATATAGTGATTACCAAGCCCTTCTACATATTTCTTCTAAAATATATATAGGTGCTGCATTTGGAAGATTAGTTGGTGAATGTATGGCTTCTTGGTTTCCTGATGGGATTACTTTAGGTGGTAGTGTAAACAGAATTATACCTGGAGGATATGCAGTTGTTGGTAAATAATTTTTTGAGTTTATGGAATTATTGCTAAGGCATTATTGGTTTGTAAAACTCATGTGTAAGTTTTGGTTCTGTATTAGATATCTTCTATTCTAAATTTGTTGTTTGTTTTATTTCATTATTTATAATTTATACTGAATGTTGTTTTTAAATGAAATACACTTTTGATTGTAAATATTCCTTTGCATTCCTTTTCAAGAGAGCTTCCACCCTATCCCAATGTATTGCAATTAATATATGTAAAAAAAGACCTTAAATTTCATTGTTTTAATAAAACATATTAAATTATTTTTTATAAGTAAATTCATTTAACCCAATTACTTTTAGATCATTGTGCTGTATCATTTTACAGTATCTCTTAACATGATATATTCATCTCTGCTATTAAATAATGCAGATTTTGTATGTATGTATATATGTTCATCACACTTTTGGAAAACTGTGGCATCTACAGCCATCAAAGTTGAATTCATATAGTACTTCATCTGAACTTGTGCACCTCAAAGCCCTAATTTTATCTTTTGTGCAAACTTATTGGCTCTTTGAGCAACAAACTAAGAGTTTAAAATGTTGTCACTCTGCAAAATATAAAATATTTATCTTTCAAATTTAGGTAGAAAAATCAGCTGTTTAAACAAAATATGTGTGTTTAATAAAGGAAAATATATATACCTGCTATTTAAAAACTGAATGTGAATTTAATTGGAATAAATGCTTGATTGCTCTGCCATTTTAGGTGCTGCTGCATTGTCAGGAAGTGTAACGCATACAATATCGACCTCAGTTATTGTTTTTGAACTGACTGGGCAGATGTCACATATTCTTCCTGTGATTGTGAGTGTTTTTTTTTTTTTAATTTGTTATTGTGATCTGAAATACCTATGTTTACAATAAACATTTTGCTTTCAAACTGCCATTATAATTTATTATTATATTCTTATAATATTTAATCATGATTCTACTGTAATTTTAAATGCACTGAAACTTCTATAAGCTAATGATTGACGGCTGCAGATGATTTTGATCTTTAATGGAGGTGGTTGCATAAGAGAAGCGATAATCAGTGGCTATGTTTATTTATTCCTCAGAATTTTCACTATTTGAAGTGGACATCTGTGAAAATTAGTCATTATGAGAAATTCACTGCATAGGTGTAGTATAAAAAAACTAAAACCACCAAACTACAGTGAATCCTCTCATTATAACCTCTTCAGTGATAAAATATTTCTAACGAAATAACTAATATCATCATTGAACTTCGCCAATAAGTACCAATAAGTATGTCTTCCAAAGCAACCATCTCCACAAAAGACCAAAATGGTCTGAATCCATGGGTTCTTAAGTTTTACTGTGTTGCAACAGTTGTTTAAGTCTCATAAATTTTTATGTGAAGTAACAAAATGCTATGCTTAAGATTCTGTGACTGTAATGCTTAAGCAAAGAATCTGTATTGTTAAGAAGGAAAGCTTTGCAGCAGCAGGAGTGGCTCCCTCCAAATGAAAAGGGACACAACTGCGCATGCGTGAAATATCTGTCCCCAAAAAGTGCCAAATCTCGAAGCTGATGTCGAAGTTCGAACAGGTTCGATGGTCACGTTTATCAAGAGTTTAAAGCTGTGTGACTCCATTTTTTTCCTACATATTGACAGATATAAAATCAGACATCAAACTGCGATATGGATAATACAACTTCAACTAGTAAAGCAAAAAAGCACGAAAATTCGAGTTTAAATTATCGCGAAAAGTCAAAGAACGATTCATCTTAAACCGTGTCCCTCAGTTTCCTGTACACATGGCGGAGGTGGAAAATCTCGACCAGGTTCATCACAAAGGGGTAAATTCTCACCAACAGGTTTCCTCGCCAAATCCCTTGGCGAATTGTCCTTCTTCTTTCTAGTGGTGTAGAAGACAAACTGGTTTACATTACGTCTATGGAGCCTTTCCTTCTTTACATAGACTTTCTTTGGCTTAAGATTCTGTGACTATTAACTAAAGTTTTAAAAATTGCATGTTTCAATGTATTTTATGTATCTATAATATTTTATTATTATCTTAAATAAATAGCGCCAGATGTGTGTTATTTCAAGATTTTGTGGAAGAACAAAATTTTAAGTTGATATGCAAAAAATTTATAAACTTATTTCATCAAATTATTTATTAAAGAATTTTAAATCAGTTTAAAGTCAGAGTATTATAAATGTTTGGAAAAAGTTAGATTAATAATTTATTATATGCTACTTTTAATTTAGATATGAGAAAGTATGTATCAGAAGTATCTTCTTTTCATATTTGGTTGAGTGTGAATTAAACTATTTCTAAATAGATCTGAATTCAGAAAATATGGATTATGTCAGCTGTACCATTATTATAACTGAAGCAGTATTTATTGGGTTACTATTTTAATGGAATTTTAAAACTTCATAATTTTTAGACCAAAACGGCAATAGTCCAGATGGGCTTATTAGTCTTGAAATGGGATTTCATGGCATATCACTTTTCAAATTGTTCCCCTGAAATATTATCCTTCTGCATTACCTTTAAAGAAATTAAGTAATAAAGAATCTGCATGAATATATATATATACATTTCTTGCACTGAAAAAAAAAAAAAAAAAAAAAAAAAAAACAGTGGTACATAGGGCATCAAATTTTGAATAATGTAGTCCTCCACCCAAACATTTGCATCTGGAAGCCCAAATTTTGAATTTCATATTTTGTAAAACTATAATGAATTTTTATTACAAATTCAATGATTTGAAAGCGAGCAGTGGTAACAGTGTACAGATTAATGTGTTGTTATCTCCAGCGCACAAAACTGTAAACCAAAAATCCTGTTTTAAATATTTTGTGATTTTGCCAGCTGAATTTTATGTGGCGTAAGTGCAAAGAACATGATATTTAATTAATTAATAAATTTAACGCACAAAATGTTAATAATAAAAAAACAAACAGAAAGTTTTGCAAGCCATCTTACTGAGAGAACTGTACATTAATATGATGAACCGAGAAAAGACTGAAGACTTGGGTGCAATTCATCACTTGATTCAGGTTCCTGGGTGATTGCCACATTCTGTATATAACATCGTAGCGCTCAAATAACTTTTGGTAGCATAACATGAAAAAGTTCATGAATGAGAATGAATTTCTCAGGAGGTATGTGAATAAGTCGCATTTCAAATTACTCCGGTAACAATATCAGTGAAGTAATGGCATATCTGCTACTGTTCATCAGTTATAGGCATAGATGGAAAAGTCATGGATGCTGCTAATCATCAGAAGTCTAAATCTCAGGAAGGCTGGTCGATGGGAGGTGCAGCTAACTGGTCCAAACTTTGTGTAACCAATGATGAGCCTAGAAAGCAAATACAAATTCTAGCAAGTCGGGCATTGGTTGGTGGGAGGAGCTAAGGTAGAATTCTAAGTTTCAATGAGGATGATGATATTGGGATAGTTTTACAAGTGGATCCTAGATGGCGACACATAAGTGTAAGTGAGATTGGTAAAGTTTAAACAACTTTTCTAGTGGTACCTAGATGGCGACACCAGGGGTGGCCCAAGAGCGATGCATAGTGCGGGAGAAAATTATGCCGCATACGCATGACATCATGTGAGTGACAGTCGTTAGTTCTTGGCGTTTGTTTACACTCATTGCATCAACAGTTTCATTTGATTTGTGTTGTTTATTGACTATTATACCTGGTCAGAAATTGCAAATTTTGCTGTATTGTTATGTCAGAATTTAGAAGGAAAACTAGAAGTCAGGGTATCACATACCATCGTTTTCCAAGTGATCCAGAAAGTTCCTTCGTTAAGTTATGGATTGTTCGCTGCAAAAAAGCAGATAATTCTAACATTGAAAATGCAAGAATATGTGCTCTTCATTTTACACGTAATGACTACATATGGGATTTAAATGCAAAATTGCTTGGTTCAACTTCTAAAAGGGTGCTGAAAGCCAATGCTGTTCCCACTTTACATCTTATATCATCATCGTGTGAAAATAACTCCTCAATACATTTTATATGCTTATACATCTTCAGTCACATGCCTATGTGTTGTGTTTTGGTTACTTTCTTTACATCCCAAAAGTAATTCTATATATTGAAGCAGTATTTTGGGGGTTAAGCATTGTGTGCAAAGTAAACTGATATATGCTTCACCCCCCCCCCCCCCGAGGAAAGAACAGTTTCTCGACCACACTACCATGCAAATAACAAATCAGTGAGTGACATATTCCCATCAGTGTTATTTAACTGAATCATATGTCTGATGTAATTTAATTAACATTACTAAGTGAATTTTTCCATGCTTGACCCTGAAGGAAAACAAATATGTGTATTGTGATGGAATTCAAATAGCGAAAGAGTAAGATATTCTATTTAGTGTTATTTAACTGCTGCATATGTTTTTAATTTTGATTCCATATAATTTGTTTTTAATTATAACAGAAAGAAAAATATTTAAATACTGAACACTATTTCAAGTATAACAAAAGCATTTTAAGAAACAAGGTGATATAAATACAGTCGTTATTAAAACACAGGCTTAATTGAAATTAAGAATTAGGGAAAGAGTATTTTTAGATAATACTGAAAATATATGTACTTCTGCTGACATCTGAACTGAATCAATATAAGTGACTTTTCACCTTAAGAATGTGATAAGTCTATTTAAAAAGTATACTGACGTGGTAAAGGAATTTGTAGAATTTTATATTAATTAAGTATGAATTTGGTGATTCAAATCATTTTATATATTATTTTTTTACTGAGATATGTAATTTAAAGAAATCACGTCATAACACTGAAGTGACAAAATCATAGGATAGCAATATTCAAATATACAGATGGCAGTAGTATCACATAGAAAATGTATAAATGCGAAGTGCTTTGGCAGGGCTTTCATTTGTGTTCAAGTTATTCATGTGAAGAGGCTTTGATGTGATTATGGCCGCACGACGAGAATTAACAGACTTTGAATGCTGAATGGTAGATGGAGCTAGATGCATGGGTCATTCCATTTCGGATATCGTTAGGGAATTCAACATTCCGAGATCCACAGTGTCAAGAGTGTACCGAGAGTATCTAATTTCAGGCATAACATCCTACCATGGACAGCGCAGTGGCCGATCACCTGCACTTAACGACCGAGACCAGCAACATCTGCATAGAGTTGTCAATGTTCACAGACAAGCAACACTGCGTCAAATAACTGCAGAAATCAATGTGGGACGTACGAGAAACGTGTCCGATAGGACAGTGCGGCGAAATTTGTCTTCCTTGGGCTATGCCAGCAGAAGACCGACTCGAGTGCCTTTACTGACAGCACGACATCGCCTGCAGCGACTCTCATGGGCTCGTGAGCATATCGGTTGGTCCCTAAACGAATGAAAAACCGTGGCTTGGTCAGATGAGTCACTATTTCAGTTGGTAAAAGCTGATGGTAGGGTTCAAGTGTGGCGCAGACCCCACGAAGCCATGGACCCACGTTGTCAACAAGGCACTGTTCAAGCTGGTGGTGGTTCCATAATGGTCTGGGCTGTTTTTATATGGCATGGACTCGGTCCTCTGGTGCAACTGAACCGATCATTGACTGGAAATGGATACCTTCAGCTACTTGAAGATCACTTACAGCCATTCATGGACTTCACGTACTCAAACAACGATGGGATTTTTATGGATGACAATGCGCCATGTCACCGGGCCACAATTGTTCGCGATTGGTTAGAAGAACATTCTGGACAATTCCAGCGAATGATCTGGCCACCTAGATCGCCCGACATGAATCCCCATCGAACATTTATGGGACATCATCGAGAGGTCAGTTCGTGCCCAAA